CCTCCAGCCCCCTACACCCCCTCCCTATCTCTGTCACCCCCTCCAGTCCCCTACACCCCCTCCCTATCTCTGTCACCTCCTCCAGTCCCCTACACCCCCTCCCGATCTCTGTCACCTCCTCCAGTCCCCTACATCCCCTCCCTATCTCTGTCACCTCCTCCAGTCCCCTACCCTCCTCCCTATCGATGTAATTCCTCTTTGTCCAAAGATACACAAGATGAAATGTATCTACTGACAGGAGAGGTGAGTAGATGACGTTAAGCCTCGGAGTAAACCCTCATGAATCAGTGATGGTGACAGGGCAGGGAGGGTGGGAGAGATCAGTGATTAAAACAGACATTGCCCTCGGGCTGTATTATCGGGTTCTGGAGTACGAGAGCAAAGATCTGATGGTGAAATTGTTAGACCTTAGCAGCTGGTTTGTGTACTGTCTTGGTTCCCACTTTCTCGTGAAGATGTGAATGTATTGGAGAGAGAGAAAGAGAGAGAGGAAGACAAACAGAGACACACAGGCACAGAGAGAGAGAGAGACAGACAGAAAGATTGAGAGACAGAGTTTGAGAGAGAGAGAGAGACAGGGACATAGAGACAGAGAGACAGGCAGGCAAAGAGAGAGAGACATGCAGAGATTGAGAGAGAGAGAGAGACAGAGTTTGAGAGAGAGACAGAGATACACAGAGAAAGAGAGACAGACAAACAGAGACAGACACAGATTGAGAGAGATACATATACATATAGAGAGAGAGGGAGAGACAGAGAGACAAAGAGAGGAGAGAGACAGAGACAGAGACAGGGAGTGAGAATGAGAGAGACAGAGACAAAGAGAGAGAGAGAGTGAGAGAAACCAAGGTAGAGACAGTGAGAGAAATTGAAAGGGAGAAAGAGAGATCGAGCAAAACAGAGGGATCGATAGATCGAGAGACAGAGACATCAAGAGAGAAAGAGAGAGAGAGGCAAAGAGCTCAAGAGGGAGAGAGAGAGACAGAGAGTTCGAGTTTGAGAGAGATAGTGGGATCAAGAGAGACAGAGAGATCGAGAGAGAGAGGCAGAGTTTGAGAGAGACAGAGATTGAGGGTTTATGACTGACAGAGACTGAGAGAGAGAGACACACACATACACACACAGAGACAGAGAGAGACAGAGACAGAGACAGACTCAGACTGTGAGAGAGAGACAGCGAGAGAGGGAGAGAAAGAGAGACAGAGAGACAGAGAGAGAGAGAGAGAGACAGAGACAGAGACAGAGACTCAGACTGAGAGAGAGAGAGTGTGGGAGAGATTTACGATCCCAGGGATGAGAAACCTCAGCAAAGAGAGAGGGATTGAGGAATTTGGGGGACTAGTCCCCCTGGGAAAGGAGGCAGCTGAGAGAGGGAGGTCGGATCGAGGTTTCCCGAAACCACAGGGCGGAGGTGGGGGGACAGAGTTAACGGGGAGTAGCTGCTCCCATATGTGTGTGTGTGTGTGTGTGTGAGAGAGAGAAAGTGTGTGTGTATGTGAGAGAGAGTGTGTGTGTGTGTGAGAGAGAGAGTGTATGTGTGTGAGAGAGAGTGTGTGTGTGAGAGAGAGTGTGTGTGTGTGTGTGTGAGTGTGTGTTTGTGTGTGTGAGTGTGTGTGAGAGAGAGTGTGTGTGTGTGTGTGAGAGAGAGAGCGTATGTGTGTGTGTGTGAGAGAGAGTGTGTGTGTGTGTGTGTGTGAGAGA